TACCAATTCCTTCCGTAGCCAAGTCTTGGAGAGTGGAGGAAAAATCCTTTCATAATTCTTGTTTCTCCCAGTTAAGTTCCGTGTATTCTTTGAAACTCATCAGGACCATAATATTGCTACCCTTTATTAAATGGTTGGTGGCGACCTTTACTTGCTTTCACTTTTGTTCTTCTTCCTGTTCCCGCTTTTCTTCGTGCCTTTCTTTCTTCTGATCGAGTAATCAGTCCCGGTTCTTGCGATAGTAGTCCCGATTAATTTCTTCCCGCGACTTGGTTTCTTTCCTAATTAGTTTTTGTCTTTGTGTTATTAACTTACTAACGTCTTTTCCGGTTTTTTTGGCTCTTGATATGGCCTGTGATAACCTATCGTGTTCTTTTTTCTTCTTGGGGTCAGAAAATGGCATATTTATAATTTATCATTGTATGTCAGACCTTTTTTGTCAGACTTTCGGTCTTAACATTTAATCTTATTTAGTCCTTAAATATGCTATATATTTACTAGTAATTTTTTGCTCCCTATAAATTATCACGAGAGGAAAAAAGGCAGGAGAAAGTCAAGCGAAAGTCTGAGAAAAAAAGCGACTTTCCGGAGTTAAAATTTGGAAAGAAGGATTAGCTTTTTTTGTTTCTTTCTTTTCAGGCGGCTAGAGCTTGCGAGTATTCAGTATCGTTGGAAAACTCCTCTCTTTGGGGTTCAGGGTCTAAATTAATAAGTTCGGTCATGGCGGTAAGTTGTGCCTTTTTTTGCTCAATGTTATTCCTGGTTTTGTCTAGTATTTCTTGTCTTTCCTGGCTACTTGCTGTTTTCATGCGAAGTCGTTCTAGTTGTGATTCTCACCAAAATTGGTTTTCTTTTTTAAAATTCTCAGCGGCTAAACAAGTTCATCCCAGCGATCGCACTAGGTATCCCACTTTTTCTGGCTCGTTTTGGTAACCCCCAAGTTCTTTTTCCCAACCTTCCATGATTTCTTTTACCTTGTCCGTCCAAGAAGAAGGGCAATTGGCAACTTCTCGCTTTCAAATTTCGCCCACCTCAATCTTTTCTCACTTTGAAACTTGGTTACTTAACTCGGTAATTTTTGCTTTTTCTTGGGCGAGCCGCTCATTAAACTTTTGGCTGAGGTCGACCATTAATTCTTTTTCCCTCTCTTGTACCTTAATTCGTAAAGTGGCTAAATTTCACTTTTGATTAACATCAATGCCCTCTTTTTGGGCTCATTGGGCCACTTGTTCTCATTGTTGAATTAATAATTTGATTTGCTTAGCGGTTAAATCAGTTTGCGTTTCCGTAGACTGCCGGATTTCCCGGTCTTGGGCTACTGCTTCGGCCGGGCCGTTTTCGCATCATTGGAGAAACCATCAAGAGGAAAAAAAGCCGATAATTATATATTCGTAGTGCATAAGCTTTAGGTTTCGTCTTTGTAGCTTAGGTAAAGAGCATAAACACCCAGAGCCCCGGCTGCTATTATAACCACATTAGCTAAGACCGCTAGGGTTCGCTCAGCCACTAGCAAAGAGTTCTTGACTTTCTTATTCATACTTTTATTTTAGTTGCTTTTTTAAATGCTCTTGTAAATCGGTCAAGTCCGATTGCAGTTGTCGTTTTTGCATAAATTCCCACCAAAGTTTCGTGACCAAAAGCAAAAAGATTAGTAATTGGGCGATTAGACCCGTTCAACTGGTTCACTTGGGGCTTAATTTATCTACCTGGGTAGCAATATTCGCTTCCAAATTAGTCTGATTAGTAGTGACTTTTTTCAGTAGGTTAATTAGTTCGATAATCTGGGTTTGCATTTGGGTTTGCAAATTATTAGCCAGATTAGATCCCGCAAATCAAGTCGGAATTTCCGGAACTCCATTAGCTAAGGCTTTGACCTTGGCGAACTCATTAGTAAATAAATCTTTATTACTAGAGCTCAAAGTGGGAGTAAGCGTGCGGTGAAACTCGTCTAGTTGATTGAGTAAATTTTGTTTGTTAGTAGCCATATTTATTTTTCTTCTTCTTCTGGTTCAGTTGCCTCCACAACTGGTTCCGGTCAAAAATAAGCCAAAGCCAAGAGTCCAAAAATCGCTAGCAAGGTAATAGCCACGATTTGTCGCAAACTTTTTATTTCCGCCATCGCTTCTTCGCGTAATTCGTCGGCCTTGTTATTAATAAATTTCTCGGTGTGCTCTTTATAAAAATTGGTTAAGCTATCTTTGAGATACTCAAACATAATGACTTAATTTTATTAGCCTGGTGCTCGGGACAAAATTTACCTTACGAAACATTTCCGTCTTGGTTAGTTGGAGGAATTAGAACTAACGTTGGGTTGTAGTTCTGGCTCTTTGGACTTAGAACGACCGAGTTTCTTAACCATTTTTTCTAGTAAACCTGTGCGGTAGAGTAAATAACCTCCTACTACGCCGTAAGTAAAACACGCCACCTTACCAGTTAGTCACGAGGAAACCGAAGATTTGGATTTGTTTTGACTTTTCTCCTTGTCCTCGCCATTGCCATTACCATTTTTGCTGTTACGATTGAAATAATATACCATATTTATTTATTTTACTCTTTTTTACCAGCTAAGGCTTTGAAAGCCTTGCCAAACTCCGCCAAAAAGTTATTAAGTTTCTTAATTTCCGTTAAAAATTCCGGAAGTAATTGGGCTTTATCATTAATCTTGCCTAGGGCTTGATTTAACCTTTTCACCTCATCGGCCACTTCTTGGAAAGATTTTAGGTCTAGCATTATTATTCTCTATTATACTCCGCCGTTTGGGTTTCCCGCTGGTGAGTTAAACGAACATTCTGGAATTTGTTATTGATATTAGTTAATTGTTGGGAAGAATTGTTGGAATTGCTTTTGAGTTCACTAATAT